AGTTACATAGAGCAACTTTAAAAAAATTTAAACAAACTAACATTTTTCAAAAAGACCTATTGGTGGTAGTATAAGAATATTGAGAAGCTCAGACAAAGACAACCTTGAGCACTACGCATCCTGGACACATCTCTCAAGTCAATGACTGTGATTGAATGGAGTTCGTCAAACAGACTGACACAAACCATTTTGTTTAGGTATGGCAGATTTATTTTTTATGACTGATAGCAATGCGGGATTGCAGTGTTGGTGGCAGAATCTGGCACTTAGTATAATCCCTCACACACAGACACAGCATTTCTCCTAGCAAGCCTTTCTCCACAGAAACTGAGACGATCTCCTGGTACAAATAAATACAGTATTCCCATCACAAGAGCACAGATCTGACTTTGAGAGCTGTGCTGACTGCTGCTTGATTGATTCAACACAATTATAAACACATTATCTTCTTATCTTGTCAACAGATTTGCTTAATGTGTGGCTTGAAACCATTTGTGACCTTAAACACCATTAAATAAAACAAGCAAACATGATATAGTTATGACTAAGAAGAAGATTAAATCAATTACGTATTCTTGTTGTAATCATGCATGACCTGTTTGGTTTGACAAGTACACTTTCAGTCCTACTATTTGTAGTGGTAAACAGGTGTTAAGCTCACTGATCGGCTGGACTCTAGGGGCCTATACCATGAAGTCGGTTTAGGTGGATAGCCCGATATGTTTTAGTTTAGTTAACTTTGCGCCAACCCTGGGTTTTAGGCACCATGAAAGTGATTTGGCTTTTAGCAGTGTTCATCGCCATAGTAACTGACGCTCCACGGCACGGTTAACCTAACTTCACAACTTTAACTTGCACTGATATAGCAAGACTTTTTCTTTTAGTTGTCCTCTTTCATAGACAGCTATTTTCTTCTTGCTAAATAAATTTGTTTGCTTTGAATTCGTAATATTTTTCAATCTCGTAATATTCTGCAGAAGATAGAAGTGAATGGCGCTGCTTCTCTCACGAGAAATGAATCGCAGTTTCACTCTTTCTCAGCATGTTATTGGCTGTTCGCTACTGATGTCACACCTAAACTCAGGATCAAAGCCTGAGTTGACAGAGAAAGTTGATGACCAGCATCATGGTACCAACAAAGCCTGGTTAGACTGGTTTGGTTTTGTCAACTCAAAACTAATCCTGTAACCCTGAGTTTGTTCAACTACCATCATGGTACAGGCCCCAGCTGTTGACGGGATTTTCCAGCATTTTGCTGCCACAGCAAGATATCCGACTAAACAGGATCGAGTGTCCGGATTACAGCATTTCGAGTCTGTGTACATTGACCTAAACCACAGAATCTCACAGACACTGATTAAAGCAAACACAAACAATGGATTACACACTGACATCAATCCACACAAGATCAAAAACTGATAAAATGAAGCAAATTATGTCTATTTCAAAGAAATGCTGTTCTTTTAAACTTTTAATTCATAAAACATGTTTCACAGTAAAAAAAAATGAAAAATAAATGTTTATTGAGCAGCACATCAGCATATTAGAATGATTTCTGAAGGATAATGTAACACTGAAGACTTGAGTAATGATGGCTGCTGAAAAAAACCCCAGAAATAAATTACCTTTTAAAATATATTAGAAAACAGTTATTTTAAATTGTAAGCTTAAGTGACCAAAGTTCTGCATTGATCATTATTTTGAAGTGGGTCAATTGTATCAGAACTGAGGCACACCATCAGGTGACAACTACTACACACACAGTTGTTTACATTTAGCCTAGTTGGTTCTTATTCATTTCAACAATATGAGATGAGTGGTTTTCTCATGTGATTGCACATGTGTATGGTTATTTCTCAAAAGCACTATTAATGTATTGCTTATTTCTTTAAAAAGCAGATTGTTCTAGTAATGTTCACGTTAGATAAAAAAAAATGAGCAAGAGCAATATAGGCTACAATGCAGATCATGCAGAAAATCATGTACATCTTGTGGAGCTGATCTGAGGCCTTATCAGAAAGACATCTAGATGCAAATGTATCATTGCTGTAATGACATTGACGCATGACACAATGGCTTTTATAAAGCACAACTTGATACTAAGATAAACTGAAGGGCAAATGAAAAGGACTCGCACGTCAGAAGCAACTGCAAGACAGGCCGTGGTGCTAACTGAAAACAAGCAGTCAGCAAACTGTTGCTCCTAAATGCTCAGACATAAGACACTAATCATCAGATGACAGTCGTATTGCAGTCAATGCATTGAATACATTAACCCCAGCTCTTGGGCAAAGAGACATGGGAGCAATAATGCATCAAGCACATTCCTCCAAATGCGCGTCATTCTCTGTCGCGTCTACACGCACACCTGTCAAACACATGAAGGGTGTGTGTGTGTGTGTGTGTGTGTGTGTGAGAGAGAGAGAGAAGGTTATTCCTCTGATCGGGGTTAACACCTCGTCCAGGCAGCTTACTCACCAGCTGTCCTCCTCTTCGTTCAGGCAATCCATGTCCTCCAAATCGAGGATCTCCACCTCGTCCAGCACTGAAGTTTCTCCGTCCTCGATACAATCCAGCGAATCGTTGTAATAAGACGCGAGACTAGTGTTCGAGGCGGTACAAGAAGCGATGTCACTGTCATACCCTCCTCCGTAACTGCTGCCGTGATATGATCGCCTGGGGCTCAGCCGGGAGTTTTCCAAAACCCCACCGAAACCCCTCGATCCGCCGAACCCCACCCCAGTGAACCCGGCGAGCCCCGCCGCGGCTCCCGGGGAATCATACCCGGCGCTCACGGGTCTGGTATTCCCCGACAATCCGCCGGGGGAAGAGAGGTGACTGGATCGGCTCCGAAGCTGCTCGTTCTGCTGCTCGAGTTTCTTTACTAAGTCTTGGAGCTTCCGCACCTCCAAGTCCGCGTTTATGTTTGAGTTGATATCCTCCATATCAAAAGCAACGATATGTCCTCGCGTCACTCGTGTCCGTTAGGTCTGTTCAAACTACAGCCAAAGTCAGCAAGTTCGCGAGCCTCTGTCGCAAGGTCTTTAAATGAAGCACTGTCAACGCCGCGGCTCGAAAGTTACTAATCTTATCGTCGTCATCTTCTCCGGGCACTCATACACACTGTAAGCTCCGTCGCCATCTTTACTGTCCGCCAGTCGCTAACTGGGAAATCTTTTGAGAAGCTAGAGGTGAGACGTCATCACGTGTCTCAACGGGGACGAGCACGTTTTGGGAGCGACCCTTCCCTGGAACCTGGCACGCGCACTTTAACTCTCTTGGTAACCCTCTCGATAAATACACACTCGACTACACTATAACAGAATACTTGTAGTTGTACTCTTACTCAGTGCTTTACTTACGTGTTATTGCGGGGATTTTGTACGTTACCTGGACACTGTTAAACTTGTACTCTTACTCAATTACATTTTTAAGGCATTATATATACTCTACGATTTTATTTAGACATTGTACAAAGTATATGTTTGCAGGCCAATTTATGGCTACTATTTTTTTGGGTTTTAATGTAGTTTTGGCTATAATTTGTGGTTGCTATTGTAAAAGCAACTGATAACAATTTTAGTATAAACTATTGAGACACAAATATCGACATTTTTACCTTGTGAAGGGATGTCTCAGTCACTACAACACTATAAAATTGCTGAAGATTAACACAATTGACTTGATGCTCAGTCTATAAACAACTATATTCAAATGTCAAACAAGTTAGCTGGTGAATTTAAATATAACAATTTCTTCTACTGCAGGTGCACTAATCCTATTGTATGAATCACATATTAAGAAACTCATACACTAAATTTTTTGCTGCAGTGAATATGGTCAAAAACACATTCACAAACCCGTATCAAAAATATGAAGTCATGGACAAATGTTCCACTGTCACAGGTGCTCAGTTGTTTTGCTCCAAAAATACCATCATATGGAAAAGCCATATAAATTAATAATATTTTTAAAAGCCCTGAGATTTTCTATAACAAATATACATTTTACTTGAAATGCAAAGCTCTAAAATATTTTATCTGGCAGAAATTGAGTAATAAAATATATATATATATATATATATATATATATATATATATATATATATTCTGGAATGCTTAAATGTAAGTAAATATATTTTAAAAAAAAAAATATATATATATATATACTTTTAAATATTTAAGGAAGTCTTTTAATCATTTATTTTTCCACTAAAAATATATACTTTTACTTTTGATTAGGTTGAACACATACCTGAACAACACACACTATGAGGTATAGGCTAAATAACTCTTTGCATTTTAAAAAGCTAAAATTTGCATTGGCTGTTTTTGAGATGCATGCTGAAATTATATAGTGTCTTTAGATTCGTGTTCTCTGATATGGCCTCACTTTCCAATGAAACAGAATTTCTTGATGTTTAATGGCATAACCATCTCTGACAGAAATCTTCTCATTGTTTGTGGGAAGAAAACTGTCATTTAAGTTTATAAGTTTATGATTTTTTTTTTTTATATATCTTTGGCCTTGTTTGGACGTGTACCATATTTCCTCACAGGCCATCATTTTAACACAGAACGAATGGCATCAGCCAGAAGGACCGCTGCAAGCACTTCAGGATTTATCTTCTTGTACAGAAGGATAAACCTGGATTAGAACCTTAAAATGTTCAGTCAGTCCTACTCATGAATCCCTGGCCTCAACTGAACTTCACATGGTTTTTCCAGTCATTTAAGTTCCAGGTGAGCAAGACAGCAAGGCTAAGAGATTATTATTGTCCTAGGGCAGGGGATTTTCAACCTTTGCAGACCCAGGGGCCACCAACCCAGGAACCCCCAATATAATAGTAAAAAAAAAAATCCCAATAACTCAATCCAGTCATATCAGTAGGCTGATAGTGTGCATCTGGAAGTATTTTGCACATAGGACCATCAAAAAAGCCTTTCCACTCACCAGGGGAGACACTGACACATTAAAGTTTTGATTGATCCAAACCCAAGGTTTTTAACAGTAAATCCATTTATTTACAAATGAGAACGTGAAATGTTCATCAGCTCATCTTTGTCACAAAATACTTTTTAATACATAAAGAACATGACCAGGAATAGTAGAGGAGTCCATAGTTCATTTGTGGAGAACGTGTTTGATCTCAGGGCAAAAAGAGTTCAAAGTATATCTGACCCTGGAGTGTCATCCAAAATGTCTCCTGACCCGTGATCTGTCACCTGAGCATCCTCAACCCCTCTTGCTCCATCTCCACCTTCCCCAGCGTCACTCTGAGTAGTCATTGATTCCTCAAGTCTGTCCTGGTCCGAGCTCATTTCCTGTGACTCATCAGCACGCTCTTCCTCCTCCTCTTCCTCCTCTGCGTCCATTTCAAACACACGTATGTGTCTCAGATTGGCACTAAGCTGATGAGAGAGATGAGACAAGAAATTTATTTAACATTTACATGCTATGCTATACGAGTTGAATTCTTAATTCTTGAAATAATTATATTATTAATTATTTTAAAATTATTAAAGCTGCAGTCCCCAGTTTTTCCTCTTTGTCGCCATCTCTGTTGGAAATCTGCAAATGCAGTTATTCGCGGAATTATCAACTTTACGTGAGTTGTGCCTCGACACCGCACAGCGCGGATGAACACAATGTTTGAGGAGAGTGTGCGGCTGTCAGTCGCCGTGCCGGTGTGGATACTGGCATTCAGAATCACAGATTATTCTTTTTGGAAGTATGACCAACATAATAATTTTCACCGGAAAATGTCATCTGAAAAAGTAACATCCACTTTTGTTCTGGTTCTGACATTGCAGTAAATCACGCTGATTAAATCTAAAAATCGCTTATCATATCACGCAAAACCGTGCAAATTATACTTTTTTCTCAAATTGTTAATGTTAACAACGTCAGCATTGCGTGACTACATGTAATGTTCTTCCGATATGTATCCTTGTTTTCGCATGGGTCCGGTTGCAGTCTCTTTTTGTCAGTAGCCACTCGGAAGTTCGAACGAAGTCTTTTGCATTTTACAGCGGGTGAATCTCCAGTTGTCACTGGTGATTGTCGTTTGAACCTTTCTGGATCCGCCAGCAAATTGATAAGTTTAATTATATCAAGTGCTGTGAGAAAAGGCTATAAATCTCCACCTCCAACATCCTCACACGCAATATAGCCTACTAGCCGAGACTCCTTCTTTATGTGTACAGATGTGACGTAATGACGCAAAGACATGCTCGAATCTCCCGCGGAAATCCACCAGTACCACTGGATTAAAAACATTATTACAAGCTTACCGCTTTGAATCGAGCTAAGGCAAGCAGATAGTTTTGAACACTGGCTGGTTATGCATTTGCTCAAATTTATTTTGAATAATTTTTAACCCCAAAAAAGCTACGGACTGCAGCTTTAAATTATTGAAATTTAAATGCACATTAATGGCATCAATATTACATTCATTTTCAATAATTCAGTAAAATAAAACAGTTTGTTATTAATTATTCTCTATATTTTAAATACAGCTGTTTTTTCAGTTTTCACTTCTTTCATACATTAATCAGATACATTTAAGTGTAAACTATTTTCCTAAATTGTAAAAAATTTCCTCAAGCTATAGAGGCTTACCACGCAGGCTACTTTGCGGATCCCGTTAACTGCCACAAACTGAGCCTTGATGTTGTCCATCTCTCTGCTCTGGTTTCCCCAGGCCAGACCCTGTACTGGGATCCCCTCAGTCTGCTGCTCCAGCCTAAAACACACCACATCAAAGAGTGCTAATTCAGGACATTCAATAGGGGCAAGCAAAGCATAACTGTATTACAATCTAGTATATTGCTGGAACTGGAACTACTGCAATATATGCATCATGCTGCTACTACTTACAATTCAACCGAATGAAAGGTTACTGATTGGTGGAAATCAACAAGTGTGCTGTACCTGAGGGTAAGGTCCCAAGTGAACTCTTCATCCCAGCTCATAGCAGAGTTTAGAGGAAGCTGAGTAAGGATGCGCATCTTATTCTCGTCATCTTCCACACTTTGCAATACCACTGTCAATGTCTCGTCATCATAAAAGCGGGCATCAAGGCAACTGTACGAGCAGTCACTAATAAACACAATTTTATTCAGTCATTCACAGACACATACAAATATTAATGGCAATATTTTCATAATATGTTATTTCCACAGATGAACTCACGTAGACGTTGGTGCAGGCGTTTCATCTTCTATACTAGAATTGAGAGGAGTGCTGAGGTTCAGGGCCACCAGACCATTAGGGACAGACCTTATTCACACACACAAATTCAGTCATGCTATGCTTCTTTCCCAAAAGATTCTAGATCGATTCATGTCAACCATAAGAGTTGATTCATTTATTGATTCAAACCAATGAGTCACTGATGTGAGTCTAACCAAAAATAAGTTTATGAATCTGACTACTTTATGAGTCACAATTTTTTTAGTTACTATATACACTTCTGTTTTTGTAAACATTTTTGAGAGAAGTCTCTTATGCTCATTAAGGCTGCATTTATTTGTAACAGTAAAAACTATAATATTGTGAAATATTATTACAATTTAAGATAACTGTTTTATAGTTTAATATATTTTAAAATGTTGTTTATTCCTGTAATGGCAAATCTGAATATTCAGCATCATTACTCCAGTCTTCAGTGTCACATGATCCTTCAGAAATCATTATAATATGCTGATTTGCTCCTCAAGAAACATTTCTTATTATTATCATCAATGTTGAAAACAGTTGTGCTGCTTAATATTTTTGTGGAAATCATGATGCATTTTTTTTTTTAGAATTCTCTGATGAATATTAAGTTTAAAAGAAAACATTTTATTTAAAATAGAGATCTTTCGTAACATTATAAATGTCTTTTCTCTCTTTTTAATCAATTTAATGTATCCTTAAAAAAAAATATTACTGACCCCAATATTTTAAACAGTAACGTATATACTTTTTTTTTTTTTTTTGTCAAAAACAAAAGAGAACAACAAAAGAGGCATGTTTACCTGTTGGGGTCTGTTGCTCTCCTCAGAATATAGATTTTAGAGGGTGAGATCTCTGGCATGCAGAACACTACGTAATGCATACCAGCCTTCTTATTATTCCACCTGCATTAAAACACACTCTTATCCTCATCATCTTCATCACCATGTTTAGAAAAATTACTGTTATTACACATGCAGACTGTAATTACATTATGAACCCTACATTATTGACACTACAACCACAAAATTCACCATTATAAATTACAGGAATATAAGTAGTCCACTTACAGTGAAGGCAGCTCAAACAGCCTTGGTGTATTTTCTGAGCTATCAAAAAAAAAAAATTTATAGAAATCATTATAATTCCAACAGCAAGACAAAATATGTCCTGTGAATCAAAATCAAACAATCTGTTATTTCCTGTCAAATCATTAGCAATCATAAGTCACTAGAGCATATTTACTATTAAACAAGTATTAAACCATGGATTACCTCTCAGGAACAGTGTACAAGCGTAAACACACAGCTTGTTTTACTGAATGCCCGATGACCTCCTGAAAAACACACATACACATGATCAGGAGTCAGATGCATTAGTGCTCAGGAAAAGAACGCTCAGCAGGAAGGGTGAAACAATCCAGTTAATGTAGTTAATGTTTCTGTAGTTAATGTGCTGGCGACCATTAATGGATGGAGTTTGTGTGTGAGAAGGCAAGTTAGAGCATGCTCTGGAAAAGAGAACAGGATGGGAGGATGTCCAGTTTGTGAAAGAGAAAAGGTTGCACATTTTTAAGGGGAGGTAATTATATGACAAGCCTCTTTGTTGTATATAAATATAATAGGCCCTCAGTTTGCAGCTTGTGTTTTATTGTTATTCTGGTTGGCTGAAATTCATAAATAAAGAAAGAGCTGAAAACAAAAGTTGTTTAGCCCTAAATGGGAAAAAGGTTTCAAAGCAGAACATGTAAAACTGTTGTCGTGCCAGTGTTTACAGAGATAAAGAAAGAGTAGTAATGTTTGTGTGTGTGTGTGTGTGTGTGTGTGTTAGAGACTCACGGCTGGTTTCTGTAAGCACAGATCAATGAACCCCTCCATCATTCTCTTGACAAAATGCAAAGACTTCTGTGGGTAAGTGGGGAAGAGCAGCGGACTGTCTGCAACACAAGAAGTATCAAACATACACGTAATTAATTACATTTCTCATATTCAATTTTATTTTTCCCCCCAAAACAATAAGTTTACATTAGCAGTCTTGTGGTCTAATAAAGGAAGAAGGTGTTTTGATTTTACCTTTTAGATGAGTGCTCTGCTTTACAAATGTCACCCACTGGTTGCCCTCCATGTTGGGTGGAGATATCAAGTCTTCATCTTCATCCTTCAAGTACTGCAAAATAAACCAAACAAAAAACAACAGAACAAGTATGTTATGAAATGAGGAAAAGAATTCCCTTCTTGTGTAAGAACGTGTAAGAAGGTCTTTACCTGTCCGACACGCTCAACGTTGAAATACTTCCCTTTCCGATCAAACAGCTCCTCATTCTGAAATGGGGAACAGAAAATGAGATGGGCTTTCACCAAATGTTTGTTTAGTGTTAAAATCGTGTTTCTCATTCACTCACAGCACTAAAATGCTCGGACAGGAAGTCAGCCACAAAAGCCAGATCCTTCTGAGTCATCTGAAACGCACAATAATATTTACATTTACAACAGCAGAAATATACACATCTTAAAAAATAAAAATAAAAATGTATATCTTGTATTTTAGGGGCATTCTTCTAACTGCATTCTATAGGCTGCATCACGCAGTGAGTTGTCCAGCATCATGATCGTCAACAATCAAAATGAAATGTAAGATGACCTATATATAGGCGTTATTTTTCCATAACTAATTAATTAAATTAGCGCGTTAAATTGACAGCCCTATTATATATACATATATTTTCTAACGTTTTGATTCTTTAAATTATTATTATTAAATTTACCACCATTTTCTTCACCAACAATCTTTCACTCTCTTAATGTCTGTTGGTATCTCACCTTGTTAAGCTCAGGAGGAACATGATCTTCGGACATTCGAAGCATTGCTGTGAAAAGCAAAAGCTGTTACAATACAATACAATACTCTGTTCCAAAATTTTAGTCATAATCGCTTAGCCATAACGGATTGTTTTCACTGAGCTTGTTGCAATGCGTTTATGGAATGTGATGGTTGTTATGAACTTGTATCAGCCTGTGTATCATCAGGAGTGTACCTATAATGCTTCAAAATAAGAATGATGATTATAAATAAACTTCATTCAATACCGAAAAGTAACAATAAAAATAATTCAGTATAATTGCACATTGCTTATTTTCTAAATCAGTCAACTTTGTGTTCCATGGTGGCTAGAAAGCTCCCTTAGAAGACTAGTTTTTGACTAAATTGATCTGAAGGCTAAATCTCTCACAAAAACTACATCTTACCAACATACAGCCATCTGAAAAAGGCTTTGAAGTTCTTCATACTCTTATCAATGACTCTGGAATCAAGACAAGCATTTGAGTGAAGTTTAATAACGACATGTACAGAACGGACATCCAGGATAAAGAGGATAGTATAAGATTAAACTCACTGTAAAAGTTCACTGGCCTTCAGGGTAAAAGATCCCACAGCTACGATGGCATCTAAACCATTAACAAAAGGGAATGTACAAATATTTCATTCTACTTGCTTGTTTTTAGTTACAGAAAAAATATAATTATAATTTTTATAAGATTTTATTTAAGTAGTATGACTTTAATTGCCGGCTCGACAAGTTGTCTATAACAATGTTATTATTACCTACAACTAAAACTATTTTTAAAAGTTAGTTATTAAGTTAGAAAGTTAGAAGTTAGAAAATTATATAAAGATAATCAAAATTATGAAAGCACATTACTAAAACTAAAATGAAATATTGAAAATATCTAAATAAAAGCTGATTCAAAATCTTTATAAATATATGATATATAGGGGTGCAACGGATCACGGTTGATCTGTATGGCCGTGCATTTGGTCTTAAAGTGACAGCAGCCAATAAATAACAGCTCCTGTCTATGCCATTAATGTTAATCATCAGCTTTAACAAAGATTAATCTATATTTCATTTATACAGTGTGTGAACAATATAGTGTCATTTTACATTTAATGATTACATTTCTGTACCTGAATACTATTGTTAGACCTTTATTTGTAACTTTGTTATATTGTATTTATCTATGCTTGTAGATTTGTGTATTAGTTCTTATTGTAATACTAACTGTTCACTTGTCTTTAATAATGTTTAATAACTAAAAGATAGATTTTTGCTGTGGTATAGAAGTATTTACGAAAGTAATAAACGAAAAGCAAAGTTACATTATCCGAAAAATTATCCGGTCCGTGACTCAAAAACCGTAATATGATCCGAACCGTGAGTTAAGTGATCCATTACACCACCAATATAATAGTATACAAATAATAGTAAAATAACACTGGTCTATAAATAGTCAGTCTTATACCCTCAATGGCTGCAGGATCCAGGCCGAGAGGTTGAAACTTCTGCTTCCAGAGTGCCATTCCTTTGACCTCGCTCAGATGATACAGCAGCGCCTCAGAGCCACTGTGTGCACAGCAAACACTCAATGCACAGGCCGCTCTGTAACATTCTCTATCTGGTGAATAATACGCACCTCTGCAAGTGACTGATAACAAGTTTCTGGATGCAGGAATATGAAGAATCAATGGACTGACCCAACATCTTTAGGCCCTGAGCGGTTAAAAAAAGTTAAACAATTGCGCTAATGACAGTAGGATAACTAATGCAGTGAATCTAATTCCAGGTAGATTTACCTTGACAGTGAGTTGATTCATGAGAAGAGCCTGAAGTTCAGGGCTAAAGGGGAAAAAGGAATCTTGATATATGCACTTCTACAAGAGTGATCGATTTGTCATGTCATCATCTGGTTTGGTTATGCTAATGTCAAAAATATAACACCACCACATTATCAGGTATGCTAAAATTTTCAACAAGACCAGACATGTGCACAGCTGTTTTCATGTTCAATCACATCTTAACATTTTGTAAAAATTGGATAATTGTTTTTTCTTTTATATTCTATTGTGGACATGTATTGTATATTTTCCTATTCTGACTGTAGCTATAAATTTGCAAACATATGTTGCCCCCTGTTGGCCACTTAGAGTAAACACATGCACGAGTAGATTTAATCTCACATGCTTTCAAAACAATCTAAAGAATATATTGAAATGACATAATATAATACAAATGTTATTATTTATACATAGTATTATATAATGCTTTTATGTTAAATATATTTATTGTTATACAAATCTAGAATTATATAGAATATTATGATTTTTATATTATTTTATATAAATGTTATAATACGATTTTACAAGCATTACTCAATAAGAAAGAATTATGAAAACAGAATGATGAAACAGAAACTTTAATTTGCCACGGACAATACCATTGAAAAACCTAGTGTGACTCATTTATGAATTGTGTGTACCTTGCATGTCCCCATAACAGTAGCTCCAGAAACTCATCCTGAACCTGAGTGCTTGTGTTCTTTTCCTGTACAAAAACAACAACTATCATTTCTGAAACTGTAAGAAACGACAAACAATGGCTCCCATGGATCACAGTCCATTATTGAATTTATATGTATTTTCAGGATGAAGCATTTAAATGCCCTAATTAATGCCATCGTATCAGATGCTTGTATTTATATTTGCTTGTTTCTGACTGGCTGCCATGTGATGGTAGCCTGGCATGCCAGACCTACACCCCGATGTTAGGTCTGGGAACTCACCATTGACAGGACTTAATACGAGGGGCGGGATAAACGGCTGTCTTTCAAATTCCCTCTGCACGCAATAGGATAGCGCTACAACCAACCAGAGCAATGAAGAAGGTGACGTAGTCAGAGCGATTAAAAATGACTCAAGTGCCGTTCTTTGAAGCTACTTATATTTTTGATACCTAGGCATTAATAAAAAAAAATAAAAAAAATCATGTTTCCAAGAAAAGCTTAATTTTAAATCATCCAGAGTCGCGGCCAAAGCCGAATCGAAAGACAGCTGTTTGCCAGCAGCAGCAGCCATTCTTTGTTTTCAGGTAGCAGTGAACCGTCGCATCTCTGTCGTCATTATGTTAAGCCCGCCCGCCGACTCTATACACGATGTGATTGGCCTGACTAGAGTTTGGTTTTCCAGCTCGAAAGTCAACGGAGAGTTGCTAGACTACACTGGCTGCGAAATAATTTTTGCAGCCGCTAGGTGGAGTCTAGATTTCTAGGCTAATGTGATGGGCTCTTACCTGGACAAACTTAGTCAGGCGGAGATCCATCTGCATAAGAATGTCCTCCCATGCTTCACACATACAGGTGAGAGAGAGACGCAAATACTAAACGACAGAGAAAGAGGATGAAAGATACTCTGTGAGCATAAAGAGTGAGTTACAGTAAAACACAGGTGCTTCTATGAGTAAGACGCCAATGAAGACACTCACCTGTAGCAGTGTGGAAATGTGCGTAAACTTGCGTGCCATCTTGGTCAACTCAGGCAGACAGGAAGACAGCAGCCCAGTGTCCAGCTGCAACAGTCAATCCACTGATATCACTCTCAATGCAGAGACGCCACACGTAACCTGACAGCTGTCATTCAACTGTGACTCAACCTGTTTGCAGTTTACTTGCAAACTGACTGTGGTCTTTAAATGAATAGCAGTTACATACACATAGATTGTACTTATATAATTACAAAGAGGCCATTTGCTGGAGTTATTGTTTCAGCATGTATAGACGGCACACACCCACACGAGCACACACACACACCCACAGGCGCACACACCCACACGTATGACTTTCTAAGGACATTCTTTGGTATAATGCAATCCCTAGTCCCTTACCCTAACTTTTACCATCACACAAGTGCCTAAGCCTAACCCTACCCCTAAACACAAATCTTACAGAAAACTTTCTGCCTTTTTACATTTTGGAGAAAAAAAAAAAAATCATGTAGTATGATTTATAAGCTTTTTTCATCAAGGGAACTGAAAATGTCCCAACAAGATCACAAAATTCTGGTAAAACTACACTTGTGCGAAGTAAAGTAACATAGGGAACACCTAAACCACACACGCATAAAAAAATCATACACACACACAATACAAAGAGTTAGGCTATAAGTTACAACTTATAAATACATTATAACTTACATTTATAAGAATTTGGATTTTTTAATTATTTTATTTTTATCATGGACACTATTATTTGTCAAGAAGCACAGTGCTGACAATACTGGAAAAAAATTACAAGATTTTAATCTGCATTTTTCAGTCTTTACCTGTATGTAATGTATCTCAGGATTGTCTTCGGTAGATCTTATCTCTGTAATAACAGAGAGGGACTTGAGGTCACTAGACAGTCCAAGACTACGGCACGTCCCTGAGATCTGAAGCAGACATAAAATACTGTAACACAAATACACACATTAACTTGGCTTTCTAAATGCATTTAAAAGACTTCTATTGTGTATATATAAAGCTAATTAAGAAATAGCATGAATGAAAAGAAAAAAAATATGTGTGAGGTAAAAATTAAAGCATGTTTGAGGTTTTATCTTACTCCACTCAGCGTGGCGATCTTATACAGGCCATACGCATAAAGCTCGACAAATCCAGATGGCCCTCCCACCACCAAGACATTAAGTCTGCAAATAAACATCACACATCAATCACAATACAACAAGCTTAACCAATCAGGTCAAAATCCTACAACACTGACCTCACTTCCCCCAAAAGGTTTGTGACTTCATCTGATTTCTCTTCACTGCAAGAGACAGTATAACACATAAGAACAAACCAGAGTGGACACACATTAGCACATGCCACATGCAGATGACCAATCAAAAAAAGTATGACAAAGAAAAAGACAAATAATCAGCATATCAAGCACATAAAATGTCCTCTTACCTAAATATCTTTGACGTGGTGCTGTAGCTGAACAAAAACACAGCACAAAGGAAAATGGCCATAAAAAAATTTGAAAATATAAAAACAAAGGAGTGACCCAAGCACTTCTCATTCAGCCCTGTGCTAGGCAAACCAAAGCTTGGAAGCTCAGAGTCTCACCTCTTAGGTAAAGTGGGTAACTTTGGAAGGAAACGGCTGGACTCATCTTCAGACTCGCTGAATAAGGACAATGTGCTAGAGGAAAAAAAATTGATTAAACCAAGCAATCAATAGAGAGAAAATGGATCCTTTCTATGTAAAAAGTCACACCTGCTGTCATCCTGCACCTCCATCCAGTGCATGCAGGACACTGGGTAATCCACAGGGAACAGGTGGAGGATTTCTGCCTTCTCTGCATCACACAGAACCACCTGCTTTGTGTCTCCCACACTGAATGCCAGGACTGCAGACAACAATCCAATGTTACTAATCATTTAACATGGCAATGGTAGCTTATTTATACTTCAGAATGTGGAGGGCCTTTATTTATTTATTTTCTGTATCATATGTTGTATTTATTCCTGCAAACAACAGGACATTAAAATTGCTTTAAAGATTGGGTTTATTTGTCAAATCTGCAATGAATCAGCAGCAGCATAATACTAATACTGGCAATATAAAAAAAAGTGTACATTAAGACGAATAAATTATATGAATGCTGTATTTATGAGTAAATGAGTAAAGTGCACCTGCAGTACATATATTTTAAAGTAAACTTTTTTTTCCCATTTCAGTTGTTTTTAGTAATTTTATTGTGTTTTTGTCATAGTTAATTATATTTAACTTTATTTCAGTTAACGTTTATTGTATTTCAAGTAATACAACTGAGACGAATCAGGCAGAGAAATACTATTTGAACTTACTTTTCCCATCAGGTCTCCAGGCCAGTGATGTGATCTCTTTTCCGGTGTTCTCATTGGGCGGTAAACTCCACACCCGCTGAAAGTTGGCAAGTCGATGCAAGAGAAGCTGTAATGACAGAATAGTCTAATGAACCCCCAATGCAATCCTACAGATTAGGATCTATTGACATTAACAGTATGGTTTAGACAGGTATGTGTGTGTCTATAAAAGATCTAACCTCTCCTGCAGTGTTAGCCAGGGCTATAAGATCTCTCTTAGGAGACCAGGCCATGTACAGTATAGGGTTGGGGAGCTGTTTCTCCCCGACCTGGCGAAAAGCAGGCATTGTTGAACCCTGCGGAAGGAAAATGTTGATCAGACGAGGACCGCAGACTTCTGTCATCTGATGCTGGACACGAGTGACAGCAGTTATGATGAACGCAGATTATTCTATGGTAAACTGAAACTTTTCATGCACTACAGCCCTTTATGACAGAATGTAGTTCACTGTAGTGACTGCTGCTATTCCACAAATGCTCCACAACAACATTAGCCTGATGTTAAGACTTCACGGACTTACCAGATAAACGACGGCAAACGATAAACTCCGCAATCCAGCTCTTCTTTTAGATTCCTTCCAAACGTATAGAGAAACTGATTTATTACATTAATATATTCTTATTTGTACCGTAACCAGATTCATATTCATAAACCTCATGATAGAGTATGGCTGTGCGACCAATGAAACATGATTCTGCCCCGCCAATGAAATGATGACTACGGAAATCCCAATGGGCCAAAATACATTTGAAAAACGCGAAACGTGTGCGAGACTTCCGAAATAACAAGAAGAATATATCAAAGTGGAGGAAACTGTAAATCTGTTTTCGCTTCAAACCAGCGTGTTTAATTAAGATAATACATTAAAATAACGCGGTAAGAAATAACGGTTTACAATATCAAGCAATATAACGAGCTTTTGTACAGTTAAAATTAACTGGAAGCAAATGACACCGGAAGCCAAACACAAATACAAATGGCCGCGCCTGCTCTTACCCATAGCTCTTACCTGAAAAATAAGGTGGATAGCCAGGGTGAAAATCACGAAACCTGTCAACCAGGCATACGTGTTCGGTTAAATTTAACCACAAAATAAATAAATAGATTTCACATAAATCAGGATTTTGAACCCACATAACATATTTTATATTAAGCATGCTCTTAACTGATGCATACTGGGTTTTTTTTCTAGGTAAATGAGAACATTAACTATCGAGCAACACTTATCAGAAAAGACAGACACAGAAAGTTACTTAATCCATTTGTGTTTTGTTGACACAGCATTGCTGAAACAGGACAGCAGCTCACCAATTCCCAGCATGATTTGCATTGTACTGATTGAGATACATCTTTGAACGTTTTTGTGCACAAGAATAATATGAAAAAGTGGTGGGGTTGGTACTTGGTTTAATATTGTGTTATTTTGGGGTTTTCTAAGAGTTTCAGTTGGTTTAATTTTTACTGATTTTCTTGGGGGGGGGGGGGGGGTTATCATTGTGGTAAACTTTGGAGCTTGCACTTAGCTTGCACATTTCTCACATTCGGATTGTTCACAGTACTATCATACGTTGTCTGAGCTTATTGCACCCAAAGCTTTAGGGAGATCTTCTTTAGTATGGCTAATTTTATGCATTTTTATAGAGCAACATCATGTTGTTGTTGTTTTTTACCAATCTGACTGGAAACAAAGTCTTGTCAGCAAAGTCATGGTTGACACAGCAAGTGCCATTGAAGATGGAATCATCTCTGGATTCACTAAAGTTTACCAGGTTAGTGACATCAAATGAATCTAATATGTAAATTTTTGTTTTAATACACTTGTAGCATCTAGTATTAAACTAGATGAACTGCAGGGATATCTGCTTTGTTTTATGTCTGTGAAATAGTTTGTGTAAGTAATTTGCATGTCACTAAAATGACTCTTACTGTCTAAGCGGTTGCTTCTTGGCCTAAATAAGCAAGAGCTTTTGCTGTCCAGTCTAAGGAAATGCCGGTAGTGTGCAAATCAGAGAAACATTTCAAAGCTTTTTATGTGTCCTTCATTTAACAAAAAGGAAAAAATGAATAACAAACTTTCCAGTATAATCTTTCACTCATTGATGCAGCTGTGACAGAACTTTTTGTCCCTGTCATTGAGGCTCAACTGTAATCAGTGCATGGATTGTTGGGAAACGGGAATAGCTCTGCGCTGTCAGTGTTTATGAAGTGAATGTGATAAGTGTCTTGAAATAGACTCCTACTGCAACACTCACGGCCACATCTGCCGTCCGTCTCAAACACCTCTCTTAAACCACGGTGAGGCTCTCGTTTTTACATGTTAAAGAAACTGTCAATATTTACTCACCCTCGTGTCATTCCATACCCGAATGAATTTCTTTCTTCCTTCAAACAGTAAAGGAGAAATTACAATCCTGGTTGCTGTTTTTAACGGGAGCTTTCAGGCTTCAAAAAGACTTTAAAAGAATTATAAAAGTGGTTACATTTCCATCTTAGTCAGCCAGAAAGTGTCACAAATCCAAAAAACATGAAGCTGCTTATCTTGCTGTATCATCAAGTATAGACAGTAAGAGGAATCCAAATTCGAATCCAAAAAACATAGTCTACCAATGTAGCTTCTGAGCATGTAAACTTTGTTGCAGTTTTTGTTGTGTCCTCGTTCCTATATAAAGGATATATATAGAGATCGGAGATATATATCTCTGTTAATGGTGGGGTGTCTTATTGGGATAACAGTATATTTAGCGACTGAGCTATTGATATAAGGTTAAATGTAGAGTCTTTAGTGACTGGCACACATTGGTTCTGAAAGTGTCATGTCTCCGTACTAAAATGGATTCGTAATGATGAATATTATGCTGCGTTCCAGGCAGGTTTTTGAGCATGTAAATCACGACTTCAAACCACGACTCACGAGTTTGTAGCATTCTAGGCCAGTCATGCCAAACTACCTGAGCGCAATATACATACTTATTTTTTCAGACACATAACATTGTAATACATAATCCTGTGTGTATATACATACTTATTGTTTCAGACACATAACATTGTAATACATAATCTTGTGTGTATTATATCATTATTAGTATATTATTATTAATTTGACTGCAACGTTATATTGTCCTAAAGTGTATTCTCACTGTGTACCGCCTGCAGAAACACTGCATCCGTAGGGGCTGCCATTGTTGTTTTGTATGGTTTTGCGGGCTATGTGACGTCAGAACTCGTAACTGGGAGTACATCGATCTAGTACGAGTTCACGGGTGGGAAGTCACGGGTTTGACTGGCGTTCCAGTGTACTTTCACGGGTATAAGGTTGGAAAAACACGGGTTACAGGTTGCCTGGAACGCAGCATTACTTAAAGCGTCATAGTACTTTTTTATAAAATTAGTGCACTACGGAAAAATCTACACATTTACATGCACACTCATTAGGACTACTAAGTTTCTTGGACAGATGATACTACATAAGCTGACAAAAACAAAGATATTTTGAGAAGTTAAATGAGTAGTTTATTTGCTATTTTACCTGTGCTGTAGGTTTCATAGTGCAGTGCTTTGGTGGCTTGTTTTTAACCGAACAGTCAAGTGTATGTCTGCAAAATGCATTTACATGCCTTCGTGGATATGAAAATTATGTGTCTGTGATGTGGTGTGGGCACTTGAATGCTAAACACCCCAGAGCTCTCTCTCTCTCTCTCTCTCTCTCTCTCTCTCTCTCTCTCTCTCTCTCTCTCTCTCTCTCTCTCTCTCTCTCTCTCTCTCTCTCTCTCTCTCTCTCTCTCTCTCTTGCTGTGTAACCTGAGCTAGGTTCCAAAATTAGCGGTACTCATTAAGCGCCAGGGCCCGAGACAGATGGGACAGCAGGCCACTCTCCAGCCACTCTAACCGGCTCACCTCAGAGCACTCAGTAAAACAAGACAAAAGAAAATTAGGACAGAGAAAAGACCCACAACTCCTTGAGGAAAGGAGACATCTTTTCTCATTTTCTGGCATAGAGATCTTGAGGAAAACTGGAACCCTCTGACGGGGACAGATATTTCCAAAAACGGACTTAAGGTAAATGGCTGTTGTTTTTTTTGTTTGTTGTTGTTTATATATAATGTCATTGACTGTAAGTAGAAGATCCAATGTGAATAACATTCATTCTGCTACAAAACAACAAATTATAGTAAATTATATAATTCGATTCAGAACAGTTCTCAAATGAATGGTCATCTGTACTATTTGGTTTCAGCTTAACATTCAGTTTAGTATTTCATTCAGTTTCGTCCGGCATCAGATTAATACTTCAACACTCATGCATTCAACTGCTCGCGTCAGAGATGGAAAATCAAGCATGTCAGTATTGGCTTTCACAATTGTTTGGCTTGTCACATTTATATTCCGCTATTTATAATTCAACAGTACAGAATAAAGATGCCATAATTTCCACATGAATAATACAGAAGCAGCATGTGTGTGTGCTTATGTGTAAAAAAGGACTCTTGGTGGGGAGGTGGTTGCTGCTGTGAAATGCAGCCCTTGAGGATTAAAAATAACAACAGCCGGCCTTCAGGACGCCATGATGGATAGAAAGTCACACTGTGTCATGTCTCTTCATATACACACACATGCCCGCACACCTTTACATACAACACCTGGTCACTTTATGTGAACATTGTGTAGACAAAGTCGACTTTAACAAAACCTGAAGACATGATTGAAATAAAGCACTTTATGTCATCAATTAATAGGCCATAAATAATAAATATACATGTACAAACAAGCATTCACAGTAGAAAAGTAGTCATAAAGTTAGCAGGAACACATTAACGTGTCTCAGACATGTGCATGAAGTGTTAACACACATTGGCCAGTTCCCCCGCACGTATTCAGAGCTGAGGTGTGTTTTCTCAGAGACCTGATCTGTTGGTTGAAGGGTTTCGCTATGCTGCAGACACTGTCTCATAATAATGTTTCACCAATGTGTGGTATGTCAGACCAAACACTCTCCCTGAATTATGGCGAAGGATCCTCTCCACAGGTTATTGAGGATGCAATCATTCACTGTCGGATTCCGACACTGTTTTTCCACAAAACTCAAATCCACAATATAGGGTCATGAGGCAGCCAATAATACATTAAAACAAAACTTTTTTCTTTAATAAAATATTAGTTTACATTTATGGATCAACTATAACAACTGTACTTGAGAGTGAAGTTCAAAATGCTAGTGCGTTTAATAAGTTTACCTGTTGCATAACATTCTGTCTATTAAGATCCCTTATGAGGTTGGGGTTTGAAGGCAGCATAGAGCATCCCTCGATGACTAGTATGATATCCCACAATCCAATGCATGTATTTGGGAGATTAATTGAAATATAAAAAATGTGCCTATTAAATTGATTGAAAAGAAATGTATTTATAAATGTTGTTTTTTCAACGTATGACTTACAAATAAAGTAAATTTATTAAATACAAATAAACAAGCATTATAGTCATTCTAAGCATTATAGTGTAAATATTTGCTCAAAATTCACTTATATTTACTCAAGAATCTATAATAAACTATTAGCTTTATGAAGTGCCTTATGAACCCACCTTTTATGAAACCTAATAAGATTCCATCATACACATGCTATTTTTTACATTTATATAAAAATGTCAACATATAAATAAGTAGCATGCATATATTTAATGTCATTATTTTTATTTATATAAAAACACTGTTCAAAAGT